TAGCTAAGGAGCGCTCAACTTCTACAAAGAAGACCAACTGTGGCTTTGAAATCTCACTCAATTACCGAGGAAAATCAAACCAATGGTTTGTGCATCAGGACAGCAAAAGCCCCACCAAACTTGTACATAATCACCCTCCGTTTGAAAAACCTCACGACCTGGCCGTCTATCGTCGATTTACACCCGAGATGGAAGCAGAAATCAACTTACTTTATGCTGCTGGATGTCGTGCTCGTCAGATCCGATCTTTACTCGCTGTCGAACCTGGTTGTGAACCGCTCTTGCGTGACATCCACAACATCCGTGCTCGACATAGGGATCGATGGTTGAATGGTAGAACACCTATTCAGGGGCTCTTTGACTTGATATCGGGTCACAACTGGGCATTCCGAACTCTCACCGCACCCAATGGAGCTCTCCAAAACCTTTTCTTCGCCAGCCCAGATGCCATTCGCTTAGCTCGAAGATTTCCTACTGTTCTTGGCTTAGATTGTACTTACAAGACAAATCGGTTTAATCTTCCACTTCTACATATAGTCGGTACAACCAATACACATAAGTCTTTCACCGTGGCTTTGTGTTTCTTGCATGAAGAAACTGAAATGAATTACGAATGGGCTATGAATCAATTGAAAAGTGTTGTTTTCGATTCGACGGAAGAAGGCGTCCCAATCCGTTTACCACAAACCTTTGTAACCGATGCCGAGCCCGCCCTTTTCAATGCTATCAATACCGTATTTCCTGATTCCGGTCACCTGTTGTGCGTATGGCACATCAACCACAATATCGCCAAAAACTGCAAGAAGAAGTTCAGTGATCATGACTGGAAAGAGTTCTTAAAGATTTGGAACTCCTTTATAGCTTCTTCGACACAAGAAGACTATGATTCGAACCTCAAGAAAGTCACCGATATCGCACAGAAGCACCAAATTTTTGATTACCTTAAACGTACATGGCTCAATAGGACCGAAAAATTCGTTTCCCTCTTCACTTCCAAAAATCACCACTTCGGTAACTCTTCTACTTCACGAGTTGAGGGCAGCCACTTCCGACTCAAACAGTTTCTCGAAGGCCGCAATAATGATTTTGTGACTTGTTTCAATGCTTTCAAGCAAGCCGGCGATCAACAGATCAGCGAAATCAAGGTGTCCACGGGTATTGAGATGACAAAAACCCTTCAAGGCCTTCCACCTTTTTTCAAGAATGTTTCGGGTGTAGTTTCTCACTTTGCAATCACGAAAATGAAGAGCCAATATGATCTATTACCTCAATCACTCAATAGGCCTTGTACAGGAACCTTTCGTGGGGCTTGGGGGCTTCCGTGCTCTCACAATATCGGAAAGGCTAGAGACGAAACTGACTACTTATCGCCAAATCTCTGTCATGACCAGTGGAAACTCGCCATGGACATCGCACCCGAAACTCACAACGCGCTTAAGGTGGCCGCTCAATCCAAATTTGCTTTACTTTCAGAGCTACCTGAACACACTCTCCAAAGATTGTATGAAGACATTTCCCGATTGGAAACTGGAAGATACTCTCTTGTACCCATCTTATTGGCCGAAGTCAAAGTTAATAATCGTGGCCGACCTTCCAACAGCCAGAAACGAAAAGTTGAAATGTCTCAAACCTCTCCATCTACTGAGAAACCGAAACACAAAACCCAAAAGTTGCACGTGGGTCAGCAGGGCCGATGGATTTCAGATTTTGAGGCCAAAGAAACCCAAAAGGGTAAGGAGGCGGCTAAGGAGGCTAAAAAGCTCGCTACCAAGGCGTCTACAAATGTTAAAAGGCCTGCTAATGTGGTGCGGGTGAAGAAATGCAGCCATTGCAAAACTCCCGGTCACCAAATAAACACCTGTCCGAATTGATTGGCTGTGGATGTAAAGACCAATCAGGCCGATATTCAGCTCAATCTTTCAGTCATCAAAGTCAACAATCCGGTGTTGACAAATGAAACTCAAACTGATACTACTTCAGAATCATATTCCGAATCAAATCACTCAGGTTCTTCTGATACCGATTCGGATGCTAGTCAAGTTTCCCAATTGTCCATCAATCACAATCTATCTCTGTGTCCATTCTGTGATGATCCGCTTCCGAAAGAGCCATCTAAACGTCTTCTACATATGAAAGAACAACTGATGGCTATGGCCAATGTCAAGTCGCTTCATGTATGTCTTTGATCTTATATTTTACACCTTTATAATACTACAATTTGATCTGACATGTGTAGACTCTTGTTTTGGTTCCAGTTTGGCCAATACGCTGAATTCTGCCATCTCCATGAGGCTGAGCGTGAGCTTATACCTTCTGGCATAAGCAAGGGTTGGCCGACCGAAATCGATTTTGATGGTTTACATAAGTAAGTGTTTACACAATCAGTAATAAAAGTCTTTCTTACCTGACTCTTTATGACACTTCACCAGTCGAATCAAGAAGTTTCTGGGCATTTTAAGTGAAATCATCAAGGGTGAAGAAGCCTCTTCCTACCTGGAAGAGGCCAAGAAGCAGTGGGCCCTGCACGGCAATCGATCCTTGAGTTTTGCAAAGCAGTTTGATGGATTTCACGTCGAGCAACCGGGGTAGTAAGCAGTTTTCACATCTCATCTAATTGAAACTTTAGAAAGACTAAATGAATTGCTCTTTTGTCCAGTTATGGCTATAAGGGCCTCTAAATAATCACCAGCTCCCTTAATCAGCTCATTAAGACTTCCGAACCCGAACCTTTGCTCAAGGTGCAACTACTGGAGCCTCTCTCAGTTGACTACTTGATCCAACGTGTCCTTATACCCGAACTCAGTTTATGCTTGATTGCCGAAGATATGAAATTGGATCGAAAGGACACCAACGTCAAGGCCACTTTGGAAGCTAGTCGCGAGTTTGGCGTTGTGGTGTTTCCACTGGAAGACAACTCGTTTGGAACATCTGCCAAACCTTCAAACTCAGAAGACCTACCAACATCAGACGTTCACCAATCACAATCAATTGGCTTACATACTCTCCAGCGTACCTTTGAGCAGAGCATCTTAAAGCAGCTACCGCTGTTTACTGTTCCATACATATGTTCAATCTTCAATCCACTGTCTTTTGGGAATTGCGGATATGATGCTATAGCCTCATCCCTGGGTTTACCTATGAAAAAAAGTTATCTCACGGTTCGGAATCAGTTATTGAAAGAACTCTCGAGTAATCAAGATATTCACAGACAGCTGATTTCGACCCCTTCAATCAAAACTCGCCGGACCAAAACTTTTGCTGATGAAGTAGTGGATGACCTACTTGTCCGGCTGGATAATCAAGAAGCTGAATGCACCCAAGAGTACTGGTTACGAATGCCACTCATGGGTTACGTAATTGCAAGCACTTATGAGCGCCCAGTGATACTTTTGAACCCTAAAACCATCAACTGCTACACCTTCTTTCCTTATCGCACGCCTCCTAACGATAACGATCCACTACCTATTGTGATTGCCTTTGTAAATGGCGAACACTTTGTTAGTCTGGGCATCACGGCTGTTAAATCGGTTCCTTTCCCGGAAGTGTATGGCTACCCCAAGAATTCAGCTATGCTCGAAACCACCGAGATACCTCAGTGGATTAGCAAACACCAACCACAGCTGAATAAGTGGGTCGAATCTCTGACAATATGATGATTTCCTTCCCCCGCTTTGAATGAAATCGATACCTTTGTTGTTCCCTCTTGTTTTCCCTGTTTCTCTTTCTATATGTTCTCTGCTCGCTACATACATGAAGTAATACATTGTTTTCCCTCTTGTTTTCCCTCTTTTTCTGCTCTCTCTGCTTACTCATACATGGAGTAATACATAACATAACTAGCTGTTGGAAATCGGTCACTCTCACTTATCTTAGTCTAGTGTTCTCTGATTTCTCTTTGTTCTGGCTGTCAGTTTGAAATTACATACATGAAAACATACAAAGTGAGATATTTACACACGCACACGCACAACGCAAAATCACAAAAAGTTTGAACGAAGTCGAACTCGAACTCGGAAAGTTCAAACAGAGGTTTCAAAAAGTTTGAAAAAGTTTGAAAAAGTTTGAAAAAGTTTTGCAAAGGGGCTGTGGAAAACGTACAGCCCCCTGTCATTTTCAAAAAGGGGCTTCGGGTTTTTTTTTTGCGGGCGTTAAATAGTGAAATCCAACAAAAAAATCTTAAACACTAAGATATTTTAAACTAAAATACGAGAGGAATAAGTATAGTTTTTTGTTGATAATAGAATGGATGAAACTTTTAATGATAAAAGAGAACTAAGTAAAGAACAACTTTGCAAATCGCAGAAACAAGATATGAAGAATAAGCTTTTCTTGAAAACCGTTACAAAGAGCTCTTTACCATATGTCATAAGATCTAGAGAAGATGAAATCAACTCGCACAGCATCTTTCGGATTTCACAGATCCCACTAAGCCAGAGCACCTATTCCCCTTAGTTAAAACCCGTTCCAACTTACAAATCCAGTCAATGCAAGGGCACCAAAAGTCATTTGACATTGTTGGCTAGTGATTCAGATACATATGAATGTATGCTGTAGCCTTAGGTCAAGATCTCACAGCAGATCGCACTTGAGCTTCAAAGTTAAGAGATTATGCTTTGATAAATGAGAGCAGCTGAAAGCCAAACTGCATTCCATGTGCTCAATGTAGAGCTTGGGAAGAAGATTGTCGGAAAAGTGAATCATGCGTCCAAACGTGGCAACAATTTATGAGGTTAATATTCGTTATCTGGATTTCTAAGGAAAAAGGATGAATAAGTTGTCCAGAAAACAAGTTGAAGTTGGTACCATTGATCATCAGAATGGAACGGGGTCTTTGAGAATTCACATTAGCAAGAGCAATAGGGGGACTGTATGTCAATGGAGAGATATTTACTTGATGGTGTTTCCAGGGTTCCGTGACCATGACTGTCAGCCTGAAGAATTACTTGTTCACTCTAAAGCTATCAGTTCAGCACAGTTATCGCGCAAAAAAAAGGGAATTTGCGATAACTCTTTGCATAACTCTTTGCAGCAAGTACATCTTGGGTAGACCCAATAATCTTTCTTGAGAATATAACAAATCACAACACTAGAAAAATTGATGGTTATTGTGTAAAACTTGATAGATCTCAACATAAGATAAAATTTCTAACAAAGTAATAAAATTCATGATATCCAAGCCTATCACATTTTTTGACAAAGAAAATCGGTTTCAGTCAAATAGGTTTTTGTGTCAGATCAAGATTCGGATTTTGTAGGAATTCCATATTTCATCCACATCTATCTTAGCTGGCTCTTTTTCCTGAACACGTGTATAATGGATTGAGCCAGAAAGATTCAAAATTGAGAGCTTAGGCCATGTATATCTAGACAAATGATGCTTGAGTGTGTCCCATTCATCGGCACCCATGGTGGAAGAACATCTTAGAACATTTATACATTTACATCTTTCAAAGCTCGTGAGAAAATCTGTGGTTCCATAATATTGATCTATATCGAGCTTTGTGAGACTCGGGAGATCAAAGCAGACATTCACATGTGGTTCGTCAGGTAAATCGCGCAATCTTAGCTGAAGTCTAGTGAGCAGAGGGGCGGAGTTGCGGAGTAGTCTCTCCAATGAGGCCGGTGACAATCCGCTACAAGAATCAAAGTTGAGAGTCTCAAATCGCTGAAGCCAAGAATTGAAGGTCCACGTTCCATCGTCGCACGTGACTCTGTTAAGACGTAATGTGCGAAGTTTTGTATGCTGGCCCAGATTCCATCCCAAAGATTCTTCTATGGTGGATTTCTGCCTGAACTTGTAGTGATTGAGTTCCAAAGATACAAGAGAAGGTAAGTTGGCGACGAGATCGATTATAAATTCACCTGGTATAGCTTTTGTCCAGTGGTTGTCCAATTTTAAACGTTGTAGTTGAGGGATTAACGTAAATGGCCCTTTCAAGGCCAGTGCGATGCAAGCATCCCATCTTCTACCCGGTGAAAGACGGCGCAAATTTATTGATACTGACTCCAGGGAAGGGCAGGCTTTGAAGATGTCTTGGACGTTCACCAGTCCAATTCCGCGAAAAAGTCCGCACCTTAATGATGTGACTAAGCCTTCTGATTCAATCATTCCGAGAGAGACTGTATTTTCAAGATGACTTCTGATGGGTTCGGAAGGATAAGAGCCAGTGCCTTTCAGACAGTCGTCTTGCAATTCAAATTCGAAGTGTTTAACTAGATGACCGTGCTGCAAGAGTAAATCCTCTGTCCAAAGTGCCATAGGAGCAGGTATAGCGCTTGGAAATTTGATTTTCTGATAAATTCAGCGGATTCAATTGAATAAGCATCTCTCGAATTTCAACGGATGAAGATCAGACTGCAGTTCATGTAAAAACATCCTCTTACTTGCCACATATAAGGAAGACAAATCCTGCGAAACTTTCGATTGACCACGGCCAGCGTTTGGAATGAATTAAGAATTGGTAGACCAGATTGATCGAGGTATACTCTATCTGCCGGACCTGACAGCTGACCCTGTGTTATACGCTTAATCTTTTGTTCATGAATATAGAAGTACTCGTAAAAAGAGTCGTAGTAAACCATCTCTGCAATGATGTCCAAAATTTCTTCTGGGAAATCGGCGCGACCCATGATACATTGTGACGAAGGATTTAATTGAAATCGACCTTCCAAGACTTCAAAGGCATCTCTAGCAGATCCATCGATGTCGAGGTCCATCTGAAGTTTTTCATCGATCGACCAGAATATCAGATTGAACACTGCTTCGTCTAGTCCGGGATAACGCTTGTTCGATTCATGTAGGAAGTACGTGGTCGAGCCAGTCAGATTGCGTATCATAATCTTTAGCTGTCTTTCCCATACACGGAAGTTATCGCAAGTTTTCCTCAACTGGGTGATTTCTTTTGCAATACTAGGAATTCTACATAAGAACTCGGGGCTATGGGCCTGACTTGCGATCGCATATTGATGAAGCTGGGATAATGCTCGAGCGGCCATAGCGCTTGACATCACTATGTATTCAATCTTCAATGAACGAAAGACGTAGTTGAGTGCGAGAAGGTGATCGATTGGATGGGATTTATTCAAGAGACGAGACAGAACGAAATCATCTTATCACGGGAACTGCGAAGGTGGCCTTTTGGGGGCGGGCTTTACAAAGCTTTTTTTAGAGCTTTTTAACCCGGCTACCCGGCCCTGCTGTTCAATTGATTTCAAGAGTCACGTCCTTTTGAGGTTCAGAATTGCTCCAAAGTGCTGGTAATTCGTTCATCATCACCATATTTTACCACCCTTCCTGAGAGCTGCCATTCCAGCCAGCCTCATTCTACTATGCAGGTGCATTTCCTGAACAGAAAACGCCAACAAAAGCTTAATTTTTCTCCACAAATAGAGCTACCATCAATCCAGTGCAATGTATATTTATTGGATCACGCATGAGCCTGAGGTCTCCAATATAGCTTATAGCTTCACATATTTTGATAAATCATTGATCTAATTTTTGACAAAAGAGAACTCAAGGATGTCAGGCGATTGAAGGTGGTCTCGAGGAAAAAAGAAAAAAGACCGATCATCTTCAAACACATGGTTTGATTAATCTGAGGATTTACTTGCTGTAGTCCTTACTCTAAGGCATCGTATTTGGTGAGCAGAGATTGCTCGACTCTCATGCGCAAAAGAGAAAATTCATTATAATAGATGGAGGTCATATAGGTGAAAGCAATCATCTTCCTTGAAGATATAACATATCTGGCCATTAAAACAACAAAGTACATATAATCATTAAATCATCAAACAATAGGAGTATCTCAAACAACAGATCTATTTAAGTCAATAACAATCAGGGTCATGGCATGCCAGCCCATCAAGTTTTCACTTAGTGTTTCAATCCTTGTCAAACAACACTTTGATGACAAGCGGTTTCACTCTCTCTTCCAGCTCCTCCTCATCTAGCCGTTGTCCATTGTTATCATAAGCGGCTGAGTAACGAACGTCCAAAACCGACAGATTAGGCCAAGTGCGTCGAGAATCGAGATAAGACCGACACTACATTTTACAACCACGCGTCAAAACTACAGTTTTCATAACCACATTCTTCATCGCAGCATTTCCATTTGTTCTTCCTCTGCAGCGTATCAAGCTGGTGGATGTATCAATTTTCAATCGACGAGGAGGGAAGAAAGACTTAAAAGTTCAAAAGATGTTCTGTTTAAGATATTTCTTACCTATCTTACTCTTCTTTCCTTTCCCAACTGCTCCCTCATTTCTCCTGCTATTCTTCTTAGTCTCAATGGCAACTCAACATAGACCTTGGTTCGTCATCCTGCAACATGAATCTATCACTAAGTTGATTATTAACTGAAATTTCTTTTTGATCGAATCTAGTGCTTATTGCTCACTCTTGCTTTCGGCGATCTTGGTCTCTACTTGTTCTTGGAACATTGCTTCACTCGATGTTTCTCCAGTCTATCCTAGACGGTTCAACACACCTTTCAAGCCTACGAGTCAATATTATTCACAGGACCGGAAAACTATGCTTTATAAATCGAATGACACGCCAAGTATGGCCAGTGAATCTAATCCGATCGAAGTGGATGCTTCTTTCAGTGGACAAACCCCACCAGCACCACCTGTCGAAGCATACGAACTGAAATCTGTTCATAGATGCTGGTTTCACTCGAATATCGCCAAACCCTTCGATCCGATCTGGTCAGCTGATGAATACCATTCAATTCGTGACGATCGATCCTCACACGCTCCTCAAAGTTCTTCAAAACCTCAACTGATGAAAGAAGGGAATCTAGAAGACCCAAACACTGTCACTCAAGATAAGAACTCTAAGCCTGATGAAAAAGTAAAACAACCCCGAAGACAATTGAACACACTTCTCTCGCCTCTTTGGAGCCCAATCCGACGTCTTTCATCTATCAAAACTAATGAATATTGTGGCGAAGAAAATGGAAAGGATAACCACGGAACAGAAATCAAAGATGACGGTTTGAATGTTTCATCAAATGGATCTGGATCAACTTCAAGCGATCAAACTGGGACTCAAACCTACTACCGAAGCTCATTCTCACGTACACCACTCCTATACACATATTTTATTCGTCATATTATAAACTTTATCGGATCTTATCTACCATCTTTACCAGTAATCTATCGTTTGATGTCAATCTTGAATCAAAACTTACCAATGTTATCAAAACTTTCAACTTTAACCGAATTTTTTAATCCATTGGTTTCGGTCTTCAAGATGATTTATGAAAGAAGTTTTAATGTATTCAGACATGTTGTGGATTTCTCTTCAAATCCGATTTATGTGGGATGGAAAGATTTGTTTTCTATTAGGATTGTCCTGGGGTCACCTCCACCTGTGATGATGTCAAAACCGTGAAGGATAAATCAATCAAGAAAGTCAAAGAGGCATGGCGTGAAGTCCTATCAAGATCGAGAGCATTTTAGTACATAGCATGATGTGTGTGTTTTGTCTTCTTAAACGCATTGATAGATAATGAGGTATCATCTCATTTGTTTCTTCTGCCTTACTTTTCCACTTAAGCTTTTGAGGAAATTAAGCGCTTTGTAATATGTATGATGATCCTTCTCACTTGTATTTTTTGTGGGTCGTTGGAAGGGATTGATGATTAAATTGAGCATATAAGACCACGTACACCTGTGCAGTTCTGTGGTCAATTCATGTTAGAATTTCATCATGAACAGGTCGACAAACTAATCAACATGAATAACTCAAAATTATTTGCTCTGAGCTATCCTCATTCAAGATCAAACTTTCTTCTTCCATAGGTCATTTTTTTTTGATATGAATAAGATGGGCATAGCGTGATATTTATCACAATTTGGTCAAGTTAGCTATGCACAGGCAGACAGCTGTCTCGATTTTTTCTTTAGGATCATGGTCACGAACAATGGGTAATTTACGCCATTTTTCTCCTTCATGTGATGAGACAAAGTACTAGATGGTGGTGAGTACAAATTCGATTGTAAATGGGAATCAGGATTTTTTGCTGCTTTGATGAACAATCTACATACTATAAAAAACAATTGAGTACTTTATCTTCTGAAGCTCTTGACTAGAGGACAAATTACTTGAAGAGGAAACTGAGAGACTATAACCAATCTTGCCCTCTCTCAAGTTCCTCCACGTATATTCTTGCTGCTTGAAGAAGTATCTCACATATCACCTGTTAACAGTTCAGTGTCAAGGTCTCATAAATACTGACCACGCCTACTATGCACAACAATTCACTGTTTCCTGATCCAACGAGGTCATGGAATTTGCCCTTTCACAGATATGAACCACTCAAGTCTCTTTAAGGAGATCAACAATGTGAAGATGCGTTGAAGATCATAATTTAACTTAAATAAATCTATTAATTTCCAAGTTGTGGGCCTTGTATTCATGCCAACTGGGGGTGTGAACTTTGTTTCAATCTCTGAAGATTGAGAAAGATGGATAATGGATAATAGATAATGTATGGTTGTGGGCTCCTTTGTGAGATCCAAAAATCAAGCATCTCATTCCATCTTTTAATGTTATCTCAAAGACATATGTACCAGAGGGCCTTGACCTAGAAAGTGAAGGATTCAGGGAACAGCTATAGAAGATGGCATCAAAATGAAAGATATATATAATATTATATCATAGAGTATTCAAGTGAATCATGTGGGGGTTTGATGATGTTATCAGGCGCATCGGATATTGTGAAACACTGAGTCTGAGCAAAGAGGGTCTTCTCATGAATGGAAAGATTATGAATCAGAAAAAGTTAAGTGTGAACATTGCCTGAATTTTGGACATCATTAAACTAGAATTGGATGCATCTCAAAGACTCTTTGTGGATGGTGTCACTATGGTGGAGAAAATCATTGGACTGCTAGTTGCACTGCACATGGGACACCCCCTTATCTAGCATCAGGCATAAGACTTGATGACAATGAGGCAGAAATTTCACCATCATTCTGATAATACTCAATGCCCCACAAATCTTCAAAGGGTTTCAGGATGGAGCAACAAGAATAACAAAGAATAGTAGGTTAGGAATATAAAAAGATTTGTACATTTGAAGCCCTAAAAAACTAGTAAGGGTTACTCATCTGGCTGCTCAACTTCTAAGTTATATCCTCTTTGAAGATCAAGATTAGGAATTATACAGCACTTTATTTCTTTTTATGTCTTGTGAATCTTTTTTTGTTGGAATACACATATGTAGAAGATTTACAAGAATCTGAAATATCAAAAAGGAACATGGTATTCTCCGTCATGTCTTGGTTTAAAAACCCACGCATGATGAGCTTTGTCTGCACAGAGAAATTGACAGCCTTGAGGATATTTGAGAGACATAGACACTAAAAGTTGATGGGGGATGCTGCCCCAAGTAGCAATATATACTAAGAACTCGTGTTAAGAGACTTAAGATATTCAAGGAAATAGCATCAATAGTTTTTCAATTCCAAGTCTCTATGCTCTTAGCTTGCATTGAACAGTTGATTTATACACTCCATACTTGATCCAAAAAGATCAAAAATTGACTTACACTATCAAGATTAAACACCCTCCCAATTGTGAAAATCTTACATTTTTTTTGGAATAATTAATTATTGTCATATAAATGCCCATTAATTATTGCAAAAAAATATGTTATTCAATTTGGGAGAGTGTTTAATCCTGGCAGTGTTACACAATGAGTGATTCTCCTTTAATCAAATTGGCAATTCAGTTGAAGTAGATCAAATTCTTATGGTTTGATTGATTTTGTTGTTTTTTTAAGTGGGTTGAGCTCTTTGATGAGTTGTTCTCAATCTCAAGAAGAATGAACAAGACTAGTAAGATGAGGTGACTGCTGTGTACTCTCCATAGATATTAAATGCATGACCCCTTACATGCATATGATTTTCTGGAGTTTTTTTTTGTTGCCTAAATGGGATTCTTTGGCCAAAATGAAATTTGTCAATCCATATTTCTAGGTCCATGCATAGAAAATCTATTTTCTAAGCTGTATGCAATTGAAGACAGTCAACTGTAGATGTCAGATAAGATCAGGAAGAGTAAATAGGAAGTCGTGATGATTGTGATTCTGAACATACTATTTACAAACTTATGATTTTGTTTTGTGAATTGTTGGATGTGATGGAATTTGATCTAGATCTGCATCATGAAGGACTTGATCAAGAATTACCCAGGACAAAGAAGTCATTCAAGATCAAGTGTTCTTCTTTCAAGAGTTGATTACATATAGGGATTACTGGATATGTATGTACATATATGGATTGGATCTTCATATGAAAGGGTGATAGAGATAGATATGCTGAGTTTTTCTTGAGGTTGAACTTCAAATGAAGGATTAATTTTACACTTAATTTTCAAGCGTTCCGATGTGATAAGCCAAGAAACTTAAAGTGCTTTGTGAAACTAAAGTGTGAATTGTGAAGGATGGCTTTGTTTCAGAAGTAATTTGATTGAATTGTCGCATACATTTTGTAATCTTTCACATGAACAAATCAAAGAGCTTTTGATGTGAATTTTTGATTTGATTCACACACACCACCACGGCTATCACATCTGTTTGGATGGGTTCGATGAATGGTCTATGAGTGGTCTTAGTTCAATTGACTATCCTTTCACTGAGATTTCCAAAATTTCCCTTTTAGCATTTCTATTTCTATCATCTCATGCTTCGAGGGTTAATTGGTTAGTCAAAGTCATCCTTCATCACTTTATCATAAAAAGAAATACTCTGACTCCTTCAATCTCAAACAGTTCACATATCTCTAAAAACTTCATTGACTTCAATCATTCTCGATTGCAGTCAGCTGCTTTAATAAAAGAAACTCAACAACCAAACCAGCTTCAAAAGTTAATCAAAAGTAAAAAAAATATACCACCAAAATGATTAAATCAACTTCATTCGATCAGTCTTCTTCCTTACCTTCAACTCAACTTCCTTCATTTAAGACTCCATCTAAATCAAAGTCAAAATCAAAATCAACCTTATCATCAATGCATCATCCTCATGATACACCTCTTCAACATCATTCATTTGATTATCAACCACCTCTTCATTCTAGCTCTCCTCTCTCATCCAACCGTTTCCTTCAACCCAATCATTTCCCATCAAAACCGTCACCATTCGGAAATCAATCAATCAAACCAAAGCCTCTCATAAAACGATCAATGAAACCTTCATCTCATGCTGGTTCTGAATCAATTTCCAATGTTCGACTTCGAAAACGTGGCTTTAATACTCCTAACCCATCATCTCAAATCTTTCCTTCATCACCTACTTCATTCTCTCTTCTACCTTCAAGTCCATCTCGTTCTACCAACACTTGCAATTTACTCGATGAATTCATGTCTTCTCCTGCCCCTCGCTCCAAGGCCATCACTTTTACTTCTCAATGTAAATCCCCTGTACCTTCGTCTGAGTCAGAAAAGGTTTCGCTTTCACAAAGATTGGCTTCTCAAGGGTTTGTTTTCTCACTTTTTATCCAAATAAAGACATATTTCATTACTTACATATCTGTGGACTTCATTAGTGTTCAAGCTAGTTGGGATACCGTCAACAGAGCGATACAATATCTCCTCGAACCACTCCAACATCAAACAAATCCTCTTCTTGACTTCACTCACCTCGTGACTCTCATCAAGCTCATTGACTCCGTACCATCAGCATCACCAAAACGGCCTACAGAGGTAGAAAAACCATTCCACCAAGTCATCAATGGAGTTCCTTTCACTTTCGCTGCCTCTCTCATTCCTGCCTCTTCACCAACCCCGATGAGCGAACGTCCACGCACAACCAACAAACCTAGCCAACAGCGTAATCCTAAACAAAAGCGTTTGAAAATTGAATCAGATTTGGATGGATCAGTCAAAGTGGTGACTGTTGGCGAAAATGACGAGGAGGAGGAGGAAGGCCGCTTCCATAAATCAACTCGACCCAAATTCTCATCACCACCCGTTTCTCACTGTAAACCGGTGAATCGAAACGGGCTAGTGTCGGCCGAAGTAGCGCGATACGGCCGAATCGCTATCACTGCTGAAGTTATGGTGAATCAATTAGGTTTAAAGGCAGCCAAAGAAGCTATTTCCAGAGCAAGTGACGGTCATCCTACTGATGGAAATCTCAAGTCTTCTCCAAACCCACCGGATGCATCTGCCCTCGATTGGTTCATTGTAGGCAAACAGAAGATTTTCAAGGCGGACCAAGGTCCGACACTTGTGGTACCATCCACACCATCAGGTCCTTCATTTTCAATGACAGACGATCAAAGCACCTTTTGGAAATCACTCTCTCAATCTTCTATCAACTTGCATCGATCCCAAAACCCGTTCCTAAGTCCTTCACCTGCAATCTTTTCAAGTGACAGTAATATACCTTTAAATCCTCAACCTAATCATTCACTTCGTCAATCTTTCAACCCGTTCCCAAACCATACCCGACTTTCAAATGCACTTTCAACTCAAACTCAATCATACATCACTTCATCATATCAATTACCAGAAGAAGATATATGTTTCAAACCTGGATCGTTTCATCAAACCGAAACCTTTGTAGCACCTTTGATTGTTAAAGAAACAGATGAGAATTCGACACCTAAAGATTCACAACCATATCAAATTCATAGATCTAGATTTGATTACTCTCCTTGTTCTCCTCTAAGACATCATCAACTTCGAAACCCCAACCAAAATCCGAGTCAAAAGATTTGTTTGTTTGAAGATATAGATGAACCGATTGATTTTTTTACCAATTCTTCACCTGTGGCTAGACTTGGAGAAATCGATCCGAATCGATTAAACCAACTAAGAGGATCTAGTCCTTCACCCTTCGTATGATGACAACCGAAGTCGCGCATACATACGATTCACCAAAAGAGTCATCGGCTCATTTTGTTTGATTTTATTTTATGATGGTTCATTGATTAAGTATCAGTCTTTGGATTTAGTTTGGGTGTTTTTCTCATCAGTTGGATAATTTAAGTAACTTTTATATTTCTAATTTCAAGAGATGTATTTTGTATTATTTAATAAACTTCTTGTTAATCACAAGAAAAGAAAAATTCAAATATCAAATATAGTATGATTTTTTTCTTCTATATATGATGGAATACTTGAGTTGATTTAGTAGTTTTCTTTTAATTCTTTTCCTTTTTATGATATATTTCTTTATATATGAATAAGTTTCTGTGACTGTAATTTGTAGCAAAGTGAAACCAAGAAAGAAAATAGCGAAAAGAAAATCTGATGTTTATGTATGTGTGTGTGTGTGTTGAATTTGTTTTTTTATGTTATGAGGTTTGGTTCAAAAGAAGTGATTTTTAAAAGTATATTCTAGATACCAAAAAAGACTAAAATCATGTTTATTTCTCTACCTTTTTTTTTCTTTTTTTACAAGAATTATATACCTTTTGGTTTTGTTTTGGTTGATGTATACCTTTTAATTGTTGGTTAGAAATGGGTTTAATTGGTCTTGTTTTTGAGGTTTTTTTTTGGCGCTTTTTCATTAGGAAAAAAATAGGAAAGAAAAGAAAAGAATAGGGATTCAGGTTGGTTTATAGTTTGAAGCCTTTAAGGAGATCTAAAAATGCAAGAAAGTTCACATTCCATCTTGAAACTAAAATTTGATGAGGCTTTCAAGGTGTTTCTGCAGACTGAGTTAAAATTGATCTTGAATCTGTTCTCCTACCTTTGTACATGGTCAGTCTGAGAGTTCCACCATCTACAGTTCTTATAATCTCATTACCACATTGAATCCATTTGAAGTAAGCCAATATACGGACAAACGTTTCAAACTTCATTTCTAATAAAAAAAATGCAACTGATACCATAATGCCCATGGTTCAATTCAAGTGGCCACAAACTTGATGAAAAAAGAAGATACGTAGGGAAATCCTTCGCGTCTTGAGCAATCAAAGAAGCACAAAAAAAATGGGCCTCATCGGGAATTGAACCCGAGACCTCTCCCAGTCTTAAGGCGAACCCAAAGGGAGAATCATACGACTAGACCATAAGGCCATGATGACGTCATTTGGGTATGCCAATTCGACCGGCGGCCGTGTGTATATCATCGCTTGGAAGATGCTGAATGACTCGACATGAGTCAAAGTGTCAACCTTGATTGGAAAAGGGATACCTGGGAGTGCGAGATTTTGATGTAGGCTGTTCACGGAGGCTATTCCCCAAAGGAAATGACTTTGATAGAGGATGAAGGAGATGAAAGACCCCACAGGACTCAGAGCAACAGAAAAAAAAGAGAGTTGGATTTGTGATATTGGAAAGACTTGGACTGTAGAGAGAAATGATGAGTTGGCCCTGTGATAAGAAAGGTTTGATAGAGATATACGAATGACTTGAATGTGTCATAGAGGAAGGGATGGTTACGAGAAATGTATTTGATTGGTAGGTGAGCACAATTGTACGAGTGCGCACAAACTGGCCGTCCTGCTCTCTTTATATATTCACGATTGGTGAAACTAAAACTTCAAGTGAAGTGACAGACTGACCACTGCGTAACTCTGAATCAAACCAAGGGTTTTCCCAATCTGGATTCGATGTTTGGAACCCTTTAAATGATCAGGTTCTGTTTTGAACTTCCTAGGCTTTTTTTGCTGCATCGAAACACACAACTTGTGTAGGTTAGTCCGCTGATTTTTCTTACTACAAGACGTGTTTCTTTGCAGCCTTGCCACACAGGGGAAGGTCGCACTTGTGTCCCGATTGGAACTCTATCAAAGGAAACCAGATGACGATGAACCGGTTTAGGCCAGCGGTCAAGCAGGTCTACATGGATGATGGGGATTACAAATTTATGATTGAGGACTCGTGGCTTCATCTTCATGTTGTGGGAACTGATCCCGCAAGGCAGGTTTGAGCGCATCTACTAGTCGTAGCGGTCATCAGTTGAGTGGTGTCTATCTAATGAGCCTTCTCGTCCAAAACAAACATCAAACAGTGAACGCTGTTTGGAACCAGTGTATATACACTTGAGATATATGTATGCCGCTCAGCGTTGGTAAAGTAATCTGAAGTGTCATGCCGGACTTTGGGTTGACTTGCTCGTTGATCCTTGTTGCTCAGAAATGGATTTTGTAAAACGATATACTCAAATTAAAAGACACATTTTCTATTCAAGAAGATTGAAAGAGGAGATTGAGGATCCTTCATATTGCACCCGTTGGTATATACAAATCAAACAGTCACCTATTCATCTTCGATCACCATCAACCAAAATCGTATTAATCATCATCCGGTAATTCCCTCCTCATATATCCATCGATCGCTCCACTAAAAGCAGCAAAACCGACTGCTCCAAACAACATTGCCTTCATCCCTGATTGATATGCCAAAACACCTCCGGCTAGTCCACCTCCGACCAAAGAATTCCATAGATCATTTTTAGCCCTATACTATTAACGATGAAAAAGAGAAAACCTCATAAGAACCTCAAGACACAAAACGAACGATGAATGATTAAAAATCAGTTTTGAAAACTCACACTTTCAACACAACATTCTAATCCAGCATACAAAGCACCAACTTTACCAAATCCTTTTCCAGTGCTCCACATTCCTTTACCCATCTCTTTAAACATTAAACCAGCCTTAGGTCCGAATTTCATTGAATCGAAATTCGGATTTCTTCGTAATGGATCTTCATATGCAAATGAAGATGACATTAAACTGAACATTCCACCTAATCCGAATCCCATCACACCAGATAAAATCGTTTTCGCTACACATGATTCTTGACCTGCTTGCCCTCTTCTTGTCCATCTTAAGAATTGATAAATCTCTTGTCTTTGTGAATCAGTAGTACCTGGCTCCTGACCGGGTATGATGTAAGGAGCTGCGATGAAATTTAGATTGATAGATCAGTGTCTATGTTAATCTCACAGAACATCATGAATTGATTAGTTTCACCTACGCAAGAATCCGGTTGCCATCAAGTACGTCCTATTCGTCTCTTCAGTGATCGGTTGGCTATATGCATGCTACGCAAAAAAAAGTCTCGGATTGCCGGTCATGAGGTGTGGTGAAATTTGGCGGGTGCAAGTTATACAGTCTCGGGGCGGTCCGTGATGCTGGGCCGCAGTATGCTCGATCTGATCGGATACTTCACATCGGGTTTCTCGCAGAAATTTGGATTGGATTGAGTGACGAGTCTGTTCAACTTTGACCCTCACCAAGATGTTCAACTTTGGCTTTGGTACTTCCAATTCACCATCACCGTCGCCGTCACCATCTTCCTCCACCTCACCGGCATCTCCAGAGTCATCATTTGAAAACAAGTTAAAAGCCGAAATCGAATATCAAGAAGTTTCATCATCAATCTCAGGCAACGAATCAATCTCATGTCTAACAGCCTTTGATAACCTTTTATTATGTTATTCACTCTCCAATCAACTCAAATCAATATATCGTTATGGTGGATTAAATCATTCATGTCCTTCAAAGCTAGATGACTTTAAATTTTGTCTTAGCTTGAAAGCTCTTGATAAAGACCAACGTGCTGGTTTGTGGCATCAAAGGAAAGCTGAAAAGATCTTAGAAAAACCCAATAGTGAAGATGTATGGGATCGGAGGTTGGTTTCTGAAAATCTATGTGGCATGTTCATAGATCGATGAGCACGTTGTAAAGGATTATTAGAAAATTGACGTCTTGATTGTTTGCTTTACAGGCCGGTCACGCCTAGTGAACCTATCTGGTCAAGCAATGCGATGAACTGAAGTATTAGAATAGACACCGACGCCTTCGTTCTTGAGAATATAAATCCCGGAGTAGAATTACAATATGAGCATAGACTCCAAAAGTACAGGTCCTGATTTACAAGTTGTCGAAATGGCGGATTTACTCGACTCAAGGTGAAATCAAATCCCATAGTTGATTACCCAAGACAAATCCATCTCGATTGTTTTCAGCTTTCCGGACTACTCGTGAAGATTCAGGATGTAAATCGCACCCTTTCGTGTTTGAATATCATACAGCCAAAAATAATTAGCTAGGAACATGAATGGAAGCTGAAGCGGTTCAAGAGTGATACTTACGCAGAAATAATTTGTCAGAGGGTTTTTCAGATGTGGTCCGGCGCGGTACTTGTACAAACCCGAGTTCATGATTAAGTTTGGTTTTCAATCTGGGGGTAGCGTAATAATAAATGTTAAGAATACTAGCTCTGCATATCTTGAAACGTAAAACTTACAATGAAGTACCAAAGACAAAGTCACCGGACCGACTAGGCTCATAGTGTTCAAGTTGTTCGCACTCAGCTTGCAAACGAGCGATTTGAGCCTTGGTGACCCCTACATTACTATCAAGCTCCTAAACTAGCACTCTGGTTAGCTCTTTGATCCATGGTAGAAATTATGAAAGACAAGTTACATACTTTTAACTTTCTCGCCTCTTCATACGAATCCTGTTCGAGTGCGTAAATCTCGGTTTGAGTTTCTCTCACCACTGAGTTAGCTTTCATCTTTTCCAAAGCCTCTTGTTTAGCTTCAGCTTGACGCTCGAATCCTTCCTTTGCGCAAATAAGTGGAGATTCGAAATCGGTCGATAGTCCAAGACTCTTTAAATGATGTTTCATTCAAGACGAAACTCACGATTCATCTCATTCCTCCCATTTTCTAATTTTTCTCGACATCTTTCTAACCATTTAAAGGTTTGATTGAGTGCTTGATAAACTAGTTCAGGATCTTCTTCTATACCTTCCTTGATGACTTCTGTTGTATCTTGAACTAATGTAGTTGTTTCATCCCACATTTGAGCTGGGGAAGGGATTGGTTCTGATTCATCTTCTGGAGAACGATTGGGTGGTATTAAGCTTGGTCGTGGTTGAGTCATTCTAGTCCCAATGCGCGATGTTTTCTTTGAGTTGAGGATCGATGTGAAAACGAAGTACAATGAGACGTGAAGAGGTCTCTGTGGAATCTTGAACGCGTTGATCACGTTTCGGCCGCTCGACGTCGGTCATGTTTATCCAGGTTTGCTGAGGTCTTGTGACAGTCAAGTGATATGTGTTCATTTGGGGCTCGTGTACGGCAGCGTGACATCCAAGGTGACACTCACAATCAAACTGCTGCGCAGACCGGCGCAACAGCTAAGAAACACGGTATTACTTTTTCTAAAATGAATGGCACCCCTGGCCCGAGAAAAAAAAAGTTTCCAGTTGCCGCAGTTGCCGCAGTCACCGCAGCTGCTGTGATGAATTTTTTTTTGCTTGAGAATGATCCATCACTCCTGATTTGAATTTCCTTCTCTAGCTCTTGTTCTTTGTACAATCAAAATCAACCATGAGCGAAAACCAACATCTGGATCCAATCTTTCTTGGTATCAGCCAAACCAACAAGAACAAAAGATTGTCTTCTAGATCTGAATCATCTGGACCAGAAGTCTTAGCAGATTTGACTAATGGGGTATGTCTCACTTTCTGTATCTATTCTTTTTTCTTATATCTAGACTGACTCGCCTCAAAATTTCAAAGGTCAATTGTGCTTCAAAGACCAAGGGCAACTCTGAAAATCGTGCAGCAGAAGATGAAGATGGCCCCTTCAAGTTCAACTTTAACTGCGATTTCTACGTGCCCAACAAGCAAAACAAGTCTGGGTTTCACCAAATCACCTGCTCCAACTGTACGATTGAATGGGATTCGAACAATTTCAATTTAGATGAACTCAAGTTAAAATGCGCTGAACTTGCCAAAAGTGACAACACAGGGATGCACATCAAGTCTGTACTCAACAAGGTAATTTTCGATGAGGAGAGTGGGGGGGTTTGGACTCTATACATTGCTTCAAACCACAGCTTTCCAAAGACAAACAGGAACCGCAAAGTGTTAGATCACAGCAATTTTCAATCGTGGGTTGAAGAGGCACATGCAAGTTATCCTAAAAATAAGGCTGGGATTTCATTTGTAGCTCCGCATCCGAGCAAGCTCAAGGCACGAGCCGAGGCGGTGAGTACAGTGTCCAATTTATCCCTGGATTTGATGCAGCTGACATCCTTACCTTGCAGGCTGCCCAAACTGATGCTGTGATAGCGCATGCCGAACGACAGGAAAAGCGTCAGGCATTGAGGCCATCAGATAACTTTGAATCTGATCCTGAGGTGAGTCTGTAACCATCTTCATTCTCCAACGTTCTCTCTTTGGATGCTTACATCATCTCCACATCCAGAACGGTGATTCAGACAGCTCAATGAACTCTCAAAATGATGCTGTAACGGCTTTTGCAAACAAACTCTTTGAAAAACATGAAATGAACAAGAAGTACAATAAGACATACCCTCCGATCATTGACCCAACGGATTCAACTCGGTATTTCGCCTTGACATCGAAAAAGGCTAAAGAGTGGGCCAAACACCGTGTAAGTCCAGACCGTCTTTCAATTCAATTATAGTGTATTGATTGTGAACAATTGAACGTTAAACTCTAGTATGATGATGAGGTTAGCCTCACTACCCCACCGGCTCATTTCAAGTATGATCTCACAAAGACCTCAGCAAAACAGCATGACTCCCCTCAACCATCGTCATCGTCTGCCCCCTTTGATCCTGCCGGGTTTACTGAGCTACTTGTGGGAATGGTTGCCGCCATCAAAGCTAGTTGGTCCCCTACTAAGCCTCCAGGTCACGAGCAAGAACCAAATAATCCAATGACACCTCAGCCAGCGAAACGACCAGCCAGTCCCGAAGCCCAACGAGCACTCTCACCTTCGCCTCCTCTTGCCGATGATCCTTCCAGCGAAACCGGGATCAACGGATTCCTTGAATTCTGCAAGTTCTCCGCTGAAAAGACAAACAACATCAAGCGGATCCTTGAGGAATTGTCGGTCACAGACTACCGACTAATCAATGAAAAAGAGTTATCACGACAAGATCTTCTTAACAAAGGACTTCCTAATATCACTGCTACAATGGTCTACAACAATGCTATTAAATATAGAGAATCTCAGATCCACAAAAGAACCGAGGCCAAAAAAGTTAGACAAGGCCTCTAATTACCAGATTGATCAAAGGAACCATTCTGATCTTTTTCAAATTTGATTATTTTACTACATATCTTATGATTTGTTGTGAGCGCCAATGTCTCAATCACCACCCCTTTGTACATATATTGTTCAAAGATCCTTCCTCCTAAATTTGGTTTGAGTTGGTTTCTTGTAATGAAAAATGCTGTGTTAGCCATAGTAACCTATCTGAGTCAGATTGACCAAGATAGAAAGGTTGAATTATCGATCATCAAAGTGACCAATCAAGATAAAAAGTGATCTTGATTGGTCACTTCTTAAAAAGTTGCTTTGCAACTTGATCAACTTAAAAACTAAAGTGACCGTGACCGCTCGAGATAAAAAGTGACCGATCAAGATGAGATGAAGAATCTCGATTGGTCACTTCTTAAAAAGTTGCTTTGCAACTTGATCGACTTAAAAACTAAAGTGACCGTGACCGCTCGAGATAAAAAGTGACCGATCAAGATGAGATGAAGAATCTCGATTGGTCACTTCTTAAAAAGTTGCTTTGCAACTTGATCGACTTAAAAACTAAAGTGACCGATCAAGATGAGATGAAGAATCTTGATTGGTCACTTCTTGAATACTTGCTTTGCAACTTGATCAACTCAAAAACTTGATCAACTTAAAAACCCAATATTTCATTTCAATAGTGAATCAATTGACTCTGCCTTCTTGTCTTAAAACACTTGGTCAGGATTAGGAAACCAAAAAACAACTATCATTTTTTAAAATAACTTGATCAAAACTTGTCAAATAAGCGGGTAGAAAGAAAAGACATCGGACATGAGATGAGAAAATACAGATATCAAAAGTCAAGATCCAGATTCTCATCATCCACATCACCATCCTCGTCATCAGTCATGGTATAGCCACATCGGTGATAAATTGGCTCTAATAGTTTGTCTACAAAAAGATCGTCAGCTACTCTTTCAATTGTTTTCACAGGATCGATAGTGACCGTCAACGCCTGAGTCCTTCGCAGTTTGGTCTTCAAGCAACAAAACCCTAGCTCAATCGGATTCAGTTCGGGGCAATAAGCAGGTAGGTATCGCAGAAGGATACCTGCAGAGCAGGTGTAGATTAGTCACTGATATTGGAGACAATCAAGCTATTCAAAGCTGAATAAGAAAAACAACGTACCTTTTTGTTGACAAAGAGCAGCAATTTGTCCTCCATGATGAATAGATGCGTTGTCCAGAACCAGGACACTGTTAGGGCCAGGGTAGCGATTCATTCGGGGTAGCTAATGAATTACTTTGGGAATCAGTAATGTCATCAAAAAGATCATCCAAAGAATCTACATACGTACAAGTTTGTATTTTAGGAAGGCTTCAAAGCGCTTTTGATTGACCGGACCGTCCAGCACAGAGAGAGCCAGGAGGTCGTGGTAACCAATTGCTGGGAGGACAGAATACCTACCCCGATGGAGTCTTGGTACTTTGCGAGTCGTTCGAGCACCAAGTTTGGCTCGCTGACGGATGCGAAGGAGATCACGTCCACATATGGCACTCTCATCTGTCCAATAGTGAAGTGAAACAATCAGAGAGTGTCAAGTCATTGAGAAAGTGCGAGAAAATTGAGAACACAAAAAGCTCCTCACCGGTGAATACCAAAAAGTTGGCTGGAAAGCCCATCATTTTATCGATCCATTGATATTTTGCTACCAAGCTCTTTCGAACATTGCTTACTTGAGCTTTCTTCAAACTGATGAACAGACGATTTTGAAGTTCTAGATGAGTCGTACTGATTGAAGGCATTTTGCCATGCTCGTCATAGAGCTGTTCACGGATCTCGTCCAAGAACAAGGATGGTTGTTCTTGGACTAGAGTTTCCATGAACTGACGGTCCGCTCGATTCAGAAACCGCTTTCGACCGCGTTTCTCATACTCAGCAGGGTCCCGGATTACTGCTCGAGTGCGATGATAAAGCTGTGTCCATCGGCTGAATGAGCGTTTTGAGATAGCCCGTCGAAGGCGCTGGCGGATTGTGGAGCAAGATTCACCTTCTAGTCGCCAACGAACGGCAAGAACTTTGACATCTGCTGAATAACGTTGAAAGCCCATCGCAGGTGAGACTGAGGAAGATCGGTGAGGGATTGCACATTACAGTGCTCATGAGCAGGCCGCGTCAGCTAGCTGATCTGAATGCATCAGTTGGTCTACAGCACTGGCTGCGGCAACTGCGGCAACTGGAAACTTTTTTTTTCTCGGGCCAGGGGTGCCATTCATTTTAGAAAAAGTAATAAAAAACTACTGATTGAAAAAACAACAATCGATGGTTTGAATGGATTTGAATCAAAGATCAAAGATTGAGGTGTTGAAGATTCATACAGACCAGCCCTTGTTTACATGACACTTCTCAAATAGAATCATTCATCAATAAATTGAGTCAAGCTGGTTAGGTCCATCCCATAGGACTTAGTTAAGTTTGGTCAAGCTAGCAGTTTCAAAAGACAGTAATTGCAAAAAAAGGAAAACCCTCTTTAAATAATATAAACAGATACACGACCTAGATAAGTAAACGAATGATGTGAAAACAAGAGCAAAGACAAGAGCAAGATCTAGTTCTCAAAAGAAGAACATCATTGACCGAACCATCCTCTAGAAAGAAAAAAGTTTCCTAAACCGCCGATATACAACCCAGAGAGCATTTTCATCACTCTTACCATGGAGGACAATCCTGGCATAACAGGTAGGCCAATCGCTGCTGAGTCAGATGAAAAGTTGTCCTCTTGTCTGCGTGTGATAAATATCAAATCAAAACAATTGGTTTGCATGAGGCCAAGGCATCTCAGATTGTGTTTGGTATCATTTCCAATACTCACTTAGTAACTCTATATTTTCCATCAGTGTCATGGATAAGGTGTAAACGGACAATCAAGCGAAGTCCTACACGTCCTGATTGTTGCGGAACACCTCGAGCATTCATGTGTTCAGTTAAATCTAGGGAATCAGTTGAGCGTTTAACAGGTTAGTATACAAGGCCATAAAAACCGTTGAAATAGAGGAAGCATACATACCGACAGTAACTTGAGTTTTATCTTCGTTGAACATCACGGCGTGAAACTCAATTTTCTGGTCAATTGTTCCCATTCGACTGTGAGTAGAATAGAGTAAGACAACACGGTCAAATCGCTGACGATATGATATTGATGACTGAGATCGATGCAAGGTGAGAAACTTACAGTGTCTTGTAGATCCCCTTGATGCCCCCTCGGCCTGTGACCCTGAAAAAGGGGTGATATAACACCGCATCCTCGGTAAAGTATCTATTTTCTCCACAAGGTATAGATGTCCGATATCATTCAGAATGATCGCGATGTTTAGAATAGGGCTTAGAAAACTGACTTCTCGACATTCATACCCATGGTAGACGCTTTGTTAGGCTCAGTCAAGGATCTAATGACATTTTCGACCTATTACCAAGGTGTTGATTCTAGCGTATCAGTGTATCATCCTGAAGCTATGATGATGAAGAATATGGCCATAGACAAAACTGACATCGGTAACTGGGTTCTCCATAGCTAAAGAGGCAAATAATCGGATGTGGGTGTGAAGTGGTAGAGAGTGGGTTGAATGGCTCGAACTTCATGTGGCTACTTTGACCGCTTATATAGTATGCTACCCTATTGGCGGTAGATGTGGTCGGATGCTTCTCTCTAGCAGCCTGATCATCCTGCTAATCCTGCTAATTCGACGATTTGATGACCCGACATTTTGCGAATCGATGGCATCTGAAAGTGATCAGGCGCAAGGCCGGATATGACCAGCATGAATTACGGTGATGATCTTCTAATGAATTGTTCTATGATACTCAAGCTATCAAAGGCTGCACAAAACACAGAACACACGGATATCTCGATGACGGAGACGCAGCGTACTTGTGAATAACCAAACATTTAGGTTGTACACACATTTTTTTATGCTTGCAATACGTTCGTACTTCCGCTGTTAGCCATCACGATTTACAAACAGTTACAAACCACCTGATAAATCCGTGTAAAAGCAGAAACGAGCCCTAGCGCCTTGCTTACTCAGCCACGCGCTCGCTTGCGGCAAATGTGACCTGAGTACGTCCCATTTGCATGGGTATACACAGACATGCTCCCCCCGGCAAGACGTTAGAAAGCAGGCAATGTTGTCTGAATGGATAGACGAGTACATACTCGGATGCACACAAGTGTCATTAGTTTCACTGGTGCATCTAAATATCCCCCCAGCTTAACACAAGTGTGAAGGATTACCCTATATGTATGACTGGTTCATCTGCATAACATTTCCAGTAACTCAATTTGTAGCATTTAGTTCACAGAAGTTTGTGCAAGGATTGAGCAGCTTCTGAACTGGGACTCAATAAGATTTTTTGATTAACTTTTGACAATTTCCCCTTTTTTAATTGGGGTCAAAGTGATTTTGCTAGAGATGCAAATGTTGACCCCTCACAATTTTGCTGGTTTGATATTTGTATGCCCTCATCAAGGGTACTGTAGTGATCTAAAATATGGCTTTTGAGCTTCTGTGGAAACTTGTCCCTGGATTTAGCCATAGCTCTAAGACAAGTTTGGTCTTACAAATTAGCTGTATCAAACCGTTAGCAACTTGGAAATGGATAGAAACTGGCAAAATCTAAGGGAGAAAGGGCATAATCCCATGAGGTGTAATTCTGTGGGAGCTCAAGAGTCATACCTTTAAATCACTACCCTCTATAGTGGCATATCAGGGTCCTGATTCCCCATCATTTGGGATGTATTTATGTGACTGTGTGCCTTTTCAAGAAGAAACCTCTGATTAGTCATTAAAGTTTGCTCATTCCATCTTAATTTTGAAAGAATCAAAACTATGTTGTAAAGTATGTTTTGAAAATAGCAGAGGTATCTTGTTTCAATAACCACATTGAATCCAATAAGTCCAGAGAACATAAAGATGGTGATGAGTTGAAAAGTTCTGCCACCCTAAGAGTATCAAAGCTCTGACACTAAAAGACTGGCTCTTCCAGAGTTTGTCCACTTCAAACAATTTTGGGTAGATCAGGATCTGACTGTCAAATTTGTTCCAGCACTGGAACAAAATCTAGAATGTTCTCCTTGATTGCCTTATATGATTGCCCTGCTCAAGTGATTGAAGTGAACAAGACAAGTGAGCCAGGTACACTGTGATTTCCATATATCAAGAGGTTGTCTAAATTCTTCAATAAACTCATCAATTTGGATGACATTCAAAGGGATCTTCATTGGGGATACAACCATAAATTTGTTCAATCTTGCCATTACTTTGCAGTGATTATGTTCATATCCTACAAGAAGTCAGTCAAGATTTCAACACAAACCAGTAGAAAATTCCAAATGATCTGATGGGGAAGTTGCCAAACTTGTCCAGGTGCAAGAGATGGTAAACACTCTGAAATTTTCATCCCTTTCCAACCCTTGGAGAAGTTCATCAGTATAGATCTGTGTAGTTTCCAATAATCATTGGAGCTTCTCAGAGAGGAAAGTCTCTAGAGACCTTTGAGAGAATCACTATACTTACAGCTTATACCTCTGCAAGTACTGAATATGTAGCTCTTGTACTGCTATCACTGCCACAAGAGGCAGTGTGACCCCACATTGGTCAACTTAGCAACCAAGGATAAAAATCATGGTACCATTGGCTCAATATGTAGTACCATGATTGTTATCCTTGATAACCTTTTTGGGGGGAAGGAATTGTGCCATGAGGGTGGCTATGTGATAAAGTTGCTTGGTCACCCCTGAGTTCATCCTTTCCAAGGGACTGTAAGATAGTTTTTCCAACTTTCAATGTTGAATCGGGGAAGTGACATCCGGTGTGACATGTCAATAAGATCTAGGCCCTGTGAAGTCGCGAGACCGTGAAGAGAAACCGTCCAACGCGATTCTTGGATCAGAGTCAGACCACTCAACATTTTCAATTTTCACAAAACCAGCAAACATGAGTGACATCAGGTTCATTAACCCACTCTTCTTCTTCAAATTCAAAGCTCAGCATAATCCGCAAAACTCAATCCACTAACCTTATTATTCTTCCACAACAGGTCTTTCTTTGGAACCAAATCCAACGATCCTTCAAAATCTACAACCGATCCAAAAGTCAGTCTTGATCTTTCATCTTTCTTAAATTTGATAGAAGAACTGATGATTTGATTTGATATATGATCTTTCAGTCAACTAGTACGAATCCTAAACCAAAAGAAACCAACAAGACTTCTACTTTTAAACCCATCACAACCAAATCAACCACACCTCAAAAAAAATCACCAGCAAAAACTATGAAACCCACTAGTTCTTCCACCCGAAAAAAAGAAACAACCGAACTTAAATCGATCGTTAAAGAATCTTCTTCTCTTTCACGTACGAATACTACTACTACTACTACTAATAAAAGGAAAATATGTGTGGAGCTTAGTGAATCGGATGATGATAAACCTGTGAAATCTAAACCTGCTTCTACTTCAAAAGGAAAAGAAAAAGTCATACCCAAAGAAACAAAACCCACTGAACGTAAACGGAAGGCTAAACAAGATGATTTTATTGTTGATGATGACGATGATGATGACGATGATGATGACGATGATGATGATGTACCAGTAAAGAGCAAAGGTAAATCATCTTCCACTTCCTTGTATTTTTCACTTAACACCTTCTTTCTGGCTACTAAAACTGGTGAATGTTTTCATTTTTTTTTCGAAAGCTACCAAAGCACCGTCTTCGAAAAAACCCAAACCAAATAAAGATGAACCATCAAAAGAAACCTCAGGAGTCCAACCTACAAAACCTAAGCCGAAATGGATCCCTGGACAACAACGCGCTGGTCCCTCTGCTCCTGGTACGAATTTCCAACATTCCATTCTGCTCGCAGGCTGCGAGATTTCCTAAGACTCTTTTTGTTTGATCTTCACAGGCTCAAAGGAAATCCCAGAAGGACAACCCAATTGTCTTGCTGGTCTTACATTTGTCTTTACTGGAGAATTAGACTCACTAAGTCGTGAAGAAGCTCAAACACTTTGTAAACGTTATGGAGGGTAAGACTTTTTTCATTTCTCTAGAACGCGCTCATGTTGACTAAATTGAGGATGTTTTTTTTTTGGATCAGTCGTGTGACCACAAGTCCATCTTCTAAAACTACCTATGTAGTGCTTGGTTCAGATGCAGGTGCCAAGAAGTTAGAAGTCATTGCTAAGCATAAGATCACCACCCTCACGGAAGATGAGTTTTTGGAATTGATCGGAACACGCTCGTAGGTTGGAGTTTGGCAACTTGGGTGTCGATGGGAAGCTAACTTCTAGGACCTTTATTCGTTGATTATCCAGAGCAAGTGAGGTGGATCCTAAAGTACTCAAGAAGCAACAAGATGAAATTAAGAAGATCAAGCAAGCTGCCAAGGCTATGGAACCTACGAAGGGAAGCACAGCGTAAGCTTCGATACCACCTCTACCAAACACACGTCGAACGTTTCTTTTAACTCGGTTTCTTTTTGATTAGTGAAATCGCTCAAGCTAAGCAAGATCTAGCCGGACAATTGTGGACAATGAAATACGCACCTAAAGCATTAAACGAACTATGTGGTAACAAAACCCAAGTGGAAAGACTTCAAACCTGGCTCAGAGATTGGTGAGTAGGCTTTTTTTTGAGTCTTGAAACCCGACCAGACCATTCAATCGATTGAAATCAAACCCTGAGATATGGTTTCTTTTCCCAAAAGGCCAAAGAATCGAAAAGCCAAGTTTACCAAACCTGGTAAAGATGGTCTAGGTCTTTATAGATGTATTGTTTTATCGGGTCCACCGGGCGTAGGGAAAACTACGACGGCTCATTTGGTTTCGAAACTTGAAGGATATGATGTGATTGAAATGAATGCAAGTAATACGAGAAGTAAAAAACTTTTGGAAGTGGGTTGTAAAGATATCACTGGAAATGTTGGGATAGGTGGATTCTTAGAGGTAAAAAAGAAAAATTTTCTCAAGTTAGATGATGATGATGACTAATTAGAGGTTTGGATTCACTTTTTCGTTTTTTTTTTAGTCATCAGAACCTAAAAACGAGAAATTAGTTTTAATTATGGATGAAGTAGATGGAATGTCAGCAGGAGACAGAGGAGGAGTAGGAGCCTTAAACAGTTTGATACGTAAAACCCAAATCCCAATCATAGCCATAGCCAATGATATGTCAATCCCCAAGATGAAACCATTAAAATCGACGACTCATTCACTTGTGTTTAGAAGACCTGATGCTAATGCGATTCGGAGTAGGATCATGTGTATTGCTTTTAGAGAGAAATTAAAGGTTCCGGCTATTGCTATTGATCAACTGGTCATGGGAAGTCAGTCTGATATTAGACAAATCATTAATATGTTGTCGGTTTGGAAATTACAGAGTGGTGAAGGTCCTTCTAAACCGATGGAGTTTGATGATGCTAGAAAGATGTGAGTTTTTCTGATCCAACTATTTACAACATCATCAATCAAAATGAATTTTGTGTTCATTGGATGTGTGTTTTTTTCGTTTTTTTTTTCGGGATGGGATTCTGTAGGGCATTGATGAATGAAAAGAATACGATTGTTTCACCTTGGTCTTTAGTGCATAAATTGTTTGCTCCTCAAACTTGGTCTCAAGCTTGTTCGATGAGCTTTATGGATAAATGTGATTTATATTTTCAAGATCATGATATGTTACCATTATTTGTACAAGTAGGTGAACGATTTTCTCTTTCTCAAATTGGAATTCCTCCGTCTTGCCAAAAAAAAAACGAAATCATTTGATCTCAAGAAGTCTTTGTGATCTGGGTGATTTATAGGATGGTTATACTAAACATGAATGTGGTTTGGCAAGGAATTGTGTGGGACCGGAAAAGGCGGCGAAGAAGTTGGAGTTATTGTCACAAGCTGCTGATTCGATTTCGGATGGAGATTTAGTAGATCGAATGATTCATGGGTAAGTGATGATGAGATGATTGAAATGTATGAAGAAATCATACTGATGATGATGATGTGTGTTTTTCTTTGTTCGGATCAGACCACAACAACATTGGTCATTAATGCCGATCCATGGAATCTTTTCATGTATCAGACCAGCCTACTTTTGTCATGGCCCTTCAAGTTCATCTGGATTCCAAGGAGGTGGAGGGGGTGTAGGATTTCCAGCATGGTTTGGAAAAAACTCAACTCAATCTAAACTAAATCGATTCTTAGGAGAAATCCAAATCCGAATGAGAATGAAGATTTCAGCCGATAAAAAAGAAGTCTTGTTAACTTATTTACCTTTGTTGATGAACTTTTTGGTGGATCCATTGAGGATTGGATCCATGGGAACTGATCAGATTGAGGGTGTTATTAGGTTGATGGATGAGTATTTTTTGACGAAAGAGGAGTGGGATGGGTTGGTTGAAGTGATGGCTATTGGGGTGGGATATGAAGAGGTTTTGAAATCGATTCCTTCGGCTACTAAATCGGCTTTTACTAGAAAGTTTGTGGAAATGAGTTTTCATGTTGAGAAATTTTGGATTCAGTGGGTTATGTTTTTTTTCTGATTGGGGATTTCTTTTTTTTTCTTCTTAGGTATAATAAAGAGTCACATCCGATTCCGTTTCATAAGAATGTTAACTTACCAGCAAGTAAAAAACTTCAAGGTAGTTTTGTTCCAGATATAGAAGGAGTGATGGATGTGAGTTTTTTTTTCAATGAATTCTTCTTACCACCCAAGACTGATGAAATGGAATTTGATTTGATTAGATCGAGGATGATTTTGAAGAAGATGATGATGAAGAAGATTCATCATTAATGGATCTTAGTAAAGATAAATTGATTAAGAGTAAAAAGCTTTCGGCTTCGAAGAGTGGGAATCCGATTGTGGGCAAAATCACGTCTAGGACTACTTCTGCTGCTTCTAGGGCTTCTAAAGGGAAAGGGAAAAAGAAATGAAGTTTTTTTTGAAAAAGGATTGTTTTTTTACAATTTTCTTTTGATAACTTGAGATTTTAGTGTTTTTTTTTTAAAAAAAACATCATGTTCAGGTTTATTTTTTTTTTGGCGGATTTGGACCTTTTACATATACGTTTTGTTTTGTTTTATGGATTGTAGAAATTTCTTTGATGTTTTGATGTGTTATTTTTTTGGGGGGAATTTATAAACAAGTTCTTTTTTCGTGTAAGAATGTATATTAGCCGTGTTCAAACCTAACCCGGTTGCCCAAAGACCCGGTACACCCAGTTGATTTTTTGGCGGTAGTGGGTATACCCGGTCACGAAGTCAAGTTTGAGACCTCATGGACCCAGATTTGAATCACCCACTCACCTGCATTACCACTGCCGAACTCCACCTGCTAATGCTCTATCACCACGTATACCAAACTCCGCCCTTCGTACCGACGTCTTGGCCTGGTTGAAGTATTTCTTTGCACTTCAAGTAGTGTCCTTGGCCAACAGTTATCAACAATCTCGCAAGATCCCCATCGACTTCACTACGATCTTGGCAGCAGTCATCACCTTGATCAGCTCGACTCAGATGAAGATACAAGTGAACAAGACTGCCTCCTTATGATGGCTTCTCACTTGATGTTAGCAGATACCTTCATTCCATCATCCAGTCAAGTAAGTTAATCAATTCAAACAATCTCAACTGAAGAAACTAACCATTATGAATGATTTGAAAATCACTCTACATAGGATATTCTCTAGATATATCAAGTTTAACGACTTCAACTCCAATCAAAGAAATTATTCTCATCCTCGTCGTAATCATATTCATATTCAACTTTTCAAATAACTTCATATTTAGTCCGAATTCAACATCGACTAAACTAAAACTGAACAAATCGATTACCAAATCCACCGTTAAATTATGGACAAAATTTGACCAACCTATCGATCATCAAAACCCGAATCAACTCAAAATCATCATCTTATAATTTGAAAACAAAGATAATGATGATTTAGACTTGATTTCAGTAAGTTTGGTTTTACCAAATTTAAGAACTTAGTCAGGCAATGAGGTTTTACCTTTTATCAAGACTTCAAGTTATTTAATTATCTATTTTCAAGGAATCCATTGTTTGGAATAATGATTTAAATACTGATTTACACATTACAGTAATTTTCTTTCTTTTGAAATGATTCAAGTTCGACTTAAATGATTGATTCATTTTAGAATTATCAACTTCTTTACAACAATTTAACTATACATACATATTCCAATTATGAAACATGAGTTGAAGGTTGACAAGGTGTTGGGGTGCTAGGAATTGGGGTTTTGATTAATAATGCATCGATGGTTTACACATCTTAAAAATCTTTCTTCATTTGATATTTCCACTTTGTCTAGTAATAATAATCATGACAATAAGTACGGTCCATTCAAATTACCTGAAAACAACAGGGATTGAAATTGATTTTCAAGTACGTGTTTTTGCCACAACACAGTTGGACTTGAGAGAGACTTACAAACTGGGGTCTGTGACCGAGAGGCAAGAAAACCCTGAGGTGAAGTTGAAACCAAAGGTGTGCTGTGGCTGACCTTTCCAAGGCCTGCCCCAATTGGATCAAGATGGTTTGAGAGAGGGAGGCTGAGTTGATCAATACCGGTGTGAGGCTATTAAATAGATCCAGCGCTGATAGATTTGTGTGGAGTGTTGGCGTTTGGAACGATATAGCTGTATGTGAACGAGACACTGATGATGTGTTGGAGTTAAGATGAGGCTCGTCGGTGTTCTGTTAGTTCTGTTTGCGTGGCGTGGTGGCATGATCGAATGTGAAGAGAGGGATGTGGAGAAGCGATTTTATTCTTTCCACGTTCCCGGTACACCCAGTGTGAAAATCAACTGGGTGTACCGGGTCTTTGGGCAACCGGGTTAGGTTTGAACACGGCTATTTGGGAGAGGTTTTTACAAAGATTTGAAGTTTGATTTTTTTTTTCTTTTTGTATAAGGATTTTCAAGAGATTGAGAAGATTCGATGAATGTACTACGATTTCAAGATCAGATCTGAGATTAAGGTTTTGAGTTGAATTGGTGAGTGCAGATGACTTCATGGTTGGGTAACTGTTTTGGACTACTCAGTCATCATTGATAGTTCATCACGTGTAGAGAATAGCTTTTTGAACGTGTTCATCATTTTGATCATTGGATTTAATTTTGATGAAGAAGTAGAGTCTGAATGATTGGTCATAGGAATGAGAACTAGTAGCTAAGAGTAGAATTAAGTATTTGTTTAAGGTCAGTGAATTTAAATTTTTAAATTTTTAATCAAAGTGGAACTTGGAAGAGTCTGATCGAGAAATCAAATCAAATCAAATCAAATCAAATCCAAATCCAAATCCAAATCCAAATCCAAATCTGAAATGAAGTGAGTGAATCCAAGTTTGATCGATTGAAGGATTTGTAATCTTCTTTTGAGTTTCTTCTTCAAACAAAAATGTATCAATCAAACCAACAACAACAACAACAACAACAACAAGGATATCATCATCAACTTAACAGAACATCAATCTCATCAAATCATTCAATCAAAATGAATCATCATCATCAACAACAACAACACCATCATCAACACTTTCAACCACAACCACAACCACACTTTCAAATTCCAATTCATCATCAACAACATCAAACACCATTACATCAATTTCAATTTCAACAACTTCATCATCAACCAGTACCACCATCACCATCTCATAACTTTCAATTCAATCGAAATCATCATTCAAACTCATTACATCCAAACCATCATCATCATCTAAATCACCATCATCCAAACCATCTAAACCATCTAAACAATCCATTCTTAATCAATCCACCTTCAATCCCATTACAATCTCCATTACCTCCTACTTTCTCTGCTTATCTACAACAACACAAACATCAACAACTACTCTCTTCTCCATCCCTCAACCAACCAAGATCTCCTACATCTTCAAACCATTCATCTTACCAAACCCAACCATCCTCATCACTTCATCATCCGAACCATAACCATCAAAGTCCATTTAATCAATACTCAAAACCAGAACCGAAAAGACCTAGCACACCACCATCCAATCTTTTGAACCTTACCACACCACCATCCAATCTTTCGAACCTTACCACACCACAACTTATCACTCCATTAAGTATCATCAGTAATGGAACCAGAAAGAAACTCAAGATCAGATTACCACTAGAGTTTACACCTGATCATGAGTTATCTTTAGACGAAAGTAGGATCCGATCGAAATGGAAACGTTTACCGATCTCTACGAATCCCGCTCAACTTGGTCCATCTAACCCATCTGATCTGCTTTTACTTCATTCTACTTCTAAAGACGAATGGCCTGAAAGATTAGGTAACCGGTTACCTGATTCGATTGATGTGTAAGTTCAAACTATCATATCTTCAATCTCCTTCTTTCTTTTGATACTTATCTTATTGCGTGTTTTTTTTCTGGAAAAAAGGTATTTACCTGGTAAAGAAGTTTGGGATGATTATCGGGCTGAGATCTTGGATGAGAAATTAAATGAATTAGGTTATCATTCAATCCAACAAGATGAGAATGTAAGTGATTTTAAATTGATTGGGTTTTTTTCAACTTTCTTTCTTTCTTTTATCCACTTTAAAAGATAGTACAAGAAATCGAGTCTAGTTAATTGGATCTTTATCAATCTCTTGACTTTCATTTCAAGACTGATTTCTCCACTTGTTTCATCTAATCTTGACAACTAACTAAACTTTTCTTACACATATACTACTGACTCATTTTCAAGAATCTTGATTAACCTGTTCTTTCTTCTCCACAATTCCCCTCATTACTATCTAGTTGGTTCACTTAGACTTACGACTTCGTCTAGAAGCCTATCTATCCGATCATCCAGAATCGACCCTTCAGATCCCTACCATCCCTGGCATCTATCCTTTTGCTTTACCTTCTTCACCTCTCTCACCGATTTCTAAACCTTTGATGAGTTTCACGGCTCCGATGATGGCTCCTAGGGGTCATAGTTCTACCATGTCAATTGCTTTACCTGGTGGAACTCCTAATCAATATCTTGCTTCTAATCGTTCTCCTACCTTTGGTCCTCCTTCTACACCCGGTGAACCGATTGGCCCTCTTCCTCCTCCTCCTCCTCCGGGATTGAAACCTACTGCGCCTGTCTTCAAACCTACTGGTACTTTGCTTCCTACTGCTCCTGAGTTTCAACCTACTTGGGCACCGGCTCCTGTTCCAGTTCCGATCTCCATTCGTCCTAGAGGCTCGGTTAGCCCTCATAGAATGCTTCTAAGTCCTACGTTAATGATTGTAGGTGAAGAAGAAGAAGAAGTAGAAGCAGAAACAGAAGATCCAAAGAGACCATCAGAAGATCAAGAAGAGATTGTGACGGATAGTGAAGCTGATTCCATTCAAGCACAAGTCTTGACGGATTCTGAAGTCGAAGATGATCAAGAAGAAGAAGAAGAAGAAGGAGAATCGATGATGAGAAATGAAGTGACGGAAGATTATTATTCAGGTCCAGATTCGGTTGAAGAAGAAGTGATGAATGAACATAATCATTTGATGAGATCATCTATCTCGTCTCAAGCCTTGAGACGAATCTCATTTAAACCGATCATATCAGATCCAAGAACAGTAGTGATGAAAGCAAGATCGAGTGCTGGTGAAGAAGAAGATGATATTCCATTGGCCAAGTTAAAAGATCGAAGGTTCTCTACTCAACTTCATCAACTTGATCATTCTAGTCAATCTTCTTCTTTACCTACCGGTATACAAATCAGTCAGGATCAAAGGAGTGAATATACTAATCCTAGTGATGAAGATGAACTAGAAGTACCAAGAGCCGATCGAAAGCCTTCTTCAGCATCTTTACCGAACCATCGTACCACTCGATCTCATACGTTTGGCATTAATTCTTTCAGTGTGAGTGGTAGAAGTTCGATGACGGGTGGGGATGGGATACCTCATAATTGGATCAATGGAGTGGAAGATGAAGATGATATTATTTCAAATCCTAGTGATGAAGATCATGAATTAATCCAGAATGAAGACCATCATCTCTATACAACAAACTTGGAAGCTACCAGATCAACCATCACAGCAGATGAAGAAGTCTCTAAACCTAATCTAAACGCATTCGCAGCTGAATTCACACCAAACTTTAATTTCTCTTCTATGATTCCACATATCGGATCATTATCAAAACAAGTGATTGAAGATGATGAACATCAATTGATCGGATCACCTGGAAGAGGTATCAAACGACAAAAAACACAACAAGAAGTTTGGATTGAAGAAGAAGGTCCCTTGATCCCATCCTTTTCAGGTTCATCTACTTTTCGTAAATTCTTTTCTTCTTCTAGTACCGATCCACTTTATCAATCAGATGAAAAAGTCAAGGAGAAATCTTATTCGTTAACCCCACCACCACCACCACCACCACCATTACCGATTGAAGAAGAAGTTTCATTTGAGCGACCTGGAAAGGATAATATGAAGACCTTCAAGTTTCCTTATAAACAGAATGCAAATGGATCAACTTCAACTGAGCACATGACGAATTCGATTTCTTCCCTTTGGCTAATTTGATTCCTAACCGATTAGAACATTTACCACCTCTACGACAATCTGTTTCACTTCCACCACCCTTTTCGTTACCTGAATTACCTGAACGTCTAGGAGGATCTAGTTCTGGTCTCACATCTGATTTGATACGAGAAGATCCCAACTATGAACATCAGAAGACATTACCACATGATTTAGGATCGATTATGATCCCTAATAGTCCGCTCATACGTGATCGATTGTTACCTATCATGAGAGATCAACCTATGACACCCAAGGTACCTAGACTTAGACCTTCTTCTTCGTTTGATGATGATTCGACTTCTTCAATCGATCATCATTCTAGATCATCTTCACCTTCACCTTCTAGAGTCTTAAACCAAGCTAGATCATTCGAATTGATTCCTACTCAAAACCTTTCGTCTAAAGATTCGATGATCTCGTTAAACCAATTAAAACAACAACAAATCGAATGGAATCAAATTGGAAATCAACCCAATGTAAAGGCTCAGATTGGTAATGAAGAGATTGTGAAGATCAGTAGTAGTGCTTCGAAGAAGAGAGGTGAGATTCCCAAGTTCTTGTCCCATGATCTTGATCATGAAAATTGTAGGCCTGCTCCTCCTAGTCAAATTACAAGGATTGAGAAAATCAATGTGGGACCTAAGATTGTGGTTGAAGAGAAGTCTGGTGGGATTGAAGAGATGGGCTTTTTGGATCCGGCTGGGGTGAGTACTATACGAATTAGCAATCGGGTACATCTAGATGATGATGATGATGCGGAGGTAAGTTTGATATTTTTCTATTGATCTTTTGATTTGATTTGAGTTTTTGATTTATATTCTTTTGATTATGATTTTTGTTCAGGAGGATGAAGAAGAAGAAGATGAAGAAATGCAAAGTGGATCATCAGAAGATGATGAAGTAGAAGAAGCAAATCTAAGTATGAGATCATCCACGACTTATTTAAATAAATTATTAAATAAAAAGTTTAAAGAATTAAGACAAGACTTAAGTGGATTACATACCTTAAAGGTTGATTTTGATTCATTGAAACGAGATGCGTTATTAGAAGAGATGCATAAACGAATGGAGATGGTAATAGAAGAAAGTCAAAGGAAAGAGAAAGGAAAGGATCTAGAAATCATTCTTAGATCGATACGAGACCTTAAGAATGGTGAAGAAGAGATTGAGATGATGATGAAGAAATTATCAGAGGCGGTGAAACCACAGATTTATCAATTGATTGATTTAACGTCTGATAAGTCTGAAACGGCTGGATTGATTGTTCAAGAATTGAAACCTAGTTTAGAAGACTTGATGAAACGATTGATTGGAGAATTAAGAGTTGAGAATGAAAAGATCAAAGAAAAAAGGATAGATGAAGATGAACATAGAGAGAGTTTGAAAGTAGGAGAAGAGATGATTGAATTGATTACACAATTAGATTTGAAATCGTTGAATTTTTATCAAGATATTAGTCAACAGATTGGAAGTACGATGAATGAGATTAGTGAATTGATTAAGAGTGAGATTAGAAGAGAAGTATTAGAAAGTAAAGAGAATGAGATACAAGAACTTAGGAATGTGAAGAACGAATTAGAATTAGGCTTATTGAAGGCTAGAGCTGATCATGGTAGAGTAAGATCTGAAAGAGCAGTGGAAAAGGAAAAGATTATGGAAGAGAAATCGAAAGTTGAAAGAGAGTTGGAAGAGTTGAGGAAGAAGAAAAGGATGGATGAGCTGGAGATTGAAAGGTTTAGAAAGGAGAAAGAGGAGATGGAAGGATCCAGGAGGGTTCAAGGGGTTGAGAAAGAGTCGGTTGAGAGGGAAAGAGATCGGTTGAAGGAGTTGGTTGCAAGGCTTGAGAGTCGATGTGAAGGATTTGAAGTTAAGGGAAGGTAAGCGATCTTTTTTTTGTTTTTATAAGTGTTTCTTTGAACTGAGATAGGATTTAATTTTGATAAAGGGAATGGGAAACCAAACGGATTTTACAAACTGAAGAGATAGCCGAATTAAAGGTCAAGAATCGAATGATTGAATCGAATAATAAATCGAATGAGAGAGGATTAGAATTAAGTCAGAATGGATATGAAAGATTACAAGAAGTACGAAATCTGGATTTGATTAGGTATCAAACTAAAGAAGATGAATTAAGGAAAGAGATTAGGAATCAAGAGATTGAGTTTGGTAAAAGATATCAAGAGATGGGTAGAGAGATTAGAGAAGCTGTAGAGGGAAAAGCTTTGGTTGAGGGTGAGCTTAGGAGTTTGGAAGGAAGGATTCATAAACTTGTGAGTGGTTTGAATTTTTCTTGTGTTTTAGAAACAAGACTGATTTGGAGGAATCTTTTATTTTTTTTTTGCATAGGATGAACAAATCTCTGGGTTAAGAGAGATGAGTGCGGCTAAACAACAATCATTAGCGACAGTAAATCAAAGGTTATACGAATCAGAAAGAAAATCCAAAGAAGTCGAAAGTTTGAGAAATGAGATGACACGAATGAAAGGAGAGAATGAAAGGATGAAAGCCATCGAATCAGATTATAGAAGGATGGAAGAAGAGAAGGCAAGGATTGAAGAAGAGAATGTGGAATTGGTACGAGAGATTGGAGAGGTTAAAGAAGGGTTAGAGAAGATGTATGAGAGTGTGGGCAAAGAGCTTTCGGAGGTTTATGTTAAGAATCAGAGCTTAGAAGAAGAGCTTGGGGTGGTTAGGTTGGAGAAGGAGGGGTTGGAGAAGGAGGTTTTGGAGAGGGAGAGATTGGAGAAGGAGAGATTGGAGAAAGAGAAGTTGGAGAGGGAGAGATTGGAGAAGGAAAGACTAGAGGAAAGATTGGAGAAGGAGAAATTAGAGAAGGAGAGATTGGAGAAAGAGAAAGAGAAAGAGAATTTGATTAGATTTGAAGGAGATTCAAGTTATAGGAATCTACAAGAAACACCCAAGAAGTTTTATCCTACACCACCTTTACAATCATACGATTTCGTTAAATCTAACGTACCACTTTCCAATTCGATTCATGCACCTAAAAACCAACCAAAACAAAAACAACTTCAACAACACTATCAACAAGCATATCAACCAAGAGGAAGGTATGAAGATCATGATGAAGATTTAGATAGTAATGAAGGAACGGTTAAGAGTTTTGGATTGGGTGATGGGAGTAGGGATAAGAGATCGGTGTCACCGGCTTGTAG